GGAAAGAAAAAGTTTAAAGCGCCCAGACAAATAGAATGTGTTCTTTACCCAGTGGGATTTGCATGCATCTGATGTATGTTGGCACCTTACATGGCAATAACAACCAAAAGTATTAAAGAATTACAAGACAATTCCATGCTAGCATTGCAGAGAAGCCTTACATGGATGTTACATTTACATTCTTTCATTGAGCTGTGTAGATTTGAGAGGTTTTCTTTACAGTTTTGTAACTTCCATTATTGTGGAAATTATTGTGCAAAAAATTAACAGACTGAAGTAGTTTACACTTGGACATGTGTAAATACATTGTGTGAAGTTCTGGAGACGGAACTCTGCTACTGTACAAAGTCCTTTGTTCTAGCAAATTAGTCCATGGTAGCACCAGTTTCCTGAAGAGGGCTTATTATCTGTCATTGCTGTCTCAGCCAGCTACATGTCACAGTGAGATCTGGATTATTCCTGTCAAGTCTGGGTGAAAGTTCCTTCTTCTAAGAAAGAAGCAACATCATAATCTTCTTCTTGCCATATGCTACTACTTATACTCCTATCAGCTCTACAAGGTATGGGGCACATAGCTTTTTTTCTTTTTTTTTTTTTAATGTCTCTTGACCACATTAAAATTTTCATGCACAAGTTTTGAAAGGTTCACCATCTGGTACTATGATTTCTGTTTAAAACCATGAATGTTTTGGTGAAATTTTTACTTTACTAATAAACCCCCTTTTTGTTTGACCCCACATTTGCATTTCCCCCCTTGCTGCCACTTTTTCTCCAAGTTCCTTGCAATGAATTCTGTTCTGTTAAATGTATGTCTGTTTACATCAATTCAGTGATAAGCCACAAAACCAAAACCCAAACTAACCCAATTTAGCTGTCTTCTGAATGCTCAGAATACTCCCAGTCTTTGTATTTTATGGCATATCTTGTAGTTAAGCCAAATTGAAGTGCTGGAAGTAAATGCTGCGCATTCTATTGCTGACTACAGGTAACAGTATCTACTTTGTAGGACTCCCTACAAAATGTAGGTGCATACCTGCAAATACTTCAATATATTTTGAGTAGTGCTGTTGTGATAAAATGACATTTGCAGGATACCAAGTTATTTTGAAGATTGGCAGCATTCATAATTCCAACGAACAATCTTTTATTATAACAAAGGCCCTGCAACTTTCAAAATCATGATGTTGTAATGGAACCTAAAGACTATCAGGACACTAAAAGCAGTTTCAGATTTCTAGCAATGTATTCCTTAACTGTGAAGTTTGATAGATAATTTAAAACAAATCAGACTATGAAGTGATACTACGAAATGGGAAATCTAATTACCCTTATCCACAAAGTTTTGTCATGTAGTAGAAAAGGAGAAGCTAATTTGGACTAATTTTAGCTTTTGCCTGTAATTTCACACCAGGAACTTTTGTAGTTTGATTTTGCCAGAGATACAGTCGTCTGGCCTTGTGTTTGATTACTGGCCGTGGCAACATATTTTGTTGTTCTAAAAAGAAAAGAAATGCAAATGAAGAAATCTGAAATAACCTAAAAAAAATCATTTTAGACAGTTGTATAGTAAGTTATGGTATGTCTGGTAAGGCAGCTTGCTCTGATAAGTCCTTGTTGTTCTTCCTACATTCCGAGAGGGATTTATTTTTAATTGCTACTTGATTAATGCTGCAGTATATCGCCAACATGACAAGATTGCTGAAAAAAATGTGCCTACAGCAACTTAATAGGGAAAAAAAGCAAATGTTTTTGAAATGGTATTAAAATGTAGATTTCACTTGGATTTAAAATGCTGATTCTTCACATCCATGTTCATCATGAGGAAGGGTACAAAGGTCCCTGTCTTGAACCCTTCCTGCACAGAAAATGTGAGTGAAAACTTTTTTGGACAAGTTGATTAGGATAAATACAAAGGTCAGACAGTAGTCTTGTGAGAGTCCTGAAGGAATTAAAATTTGAAACTGTGTAACTATTATCTGTGGCTTAAACATTTTGCTTAAAACTAACTCTCTACCTGAATAACAGGTGACAGGTTTATTTGGTTCTTTGGGGATTTTTTTCCCCCCAAAAGAAGTCTCTATAAATAGTGCTGTGAACAGATATGATATAAAAATGATGCACTAATTTGACTAATTTAGACTTAATTCACTTTCATGTTCTTCAGAGCAGTTGGTAAATATGGGGCCAAGATGATTCAAGTAGCCGATTTGGGTTTACAGAGGGCTTTCAAAAAGGTCTTACCAACTTACAGAGAGAGGCAACAGCAAAGACAGGATTATCTTGTTTGAGGAGCATATGTGTAGGGTGGAATTAGCTCTTCAGTCTACAGGAGAGCGAGCTGAGGATGAGGATGGTGGTGGCCTCAAATCACAAGTGGTGCAGAGAATAGTGTATAATTATTTACTGTTTTTCAGAGGCAGATCAATGGACTCGTGAGGATGCAGCTTAAAAACAAATGAGTACATTTTCACATAGCAGATTTTGAAATTTATTGGCAAGCTTTTGACTACCAAAACTAACTTTGCATTAGCTGACAATCC